GCCAGGTCCTCCCTCACCACCACCTCCGGTTACCTGGCGAAGCCCAGGGTGTGGGGCCCCAGAACCCTGCTTGGGGCTGGCGGACTCAGGCCTCTACCTGCTGAGGCCCCACGTGTTCCAGAAGCTCAGAAGCACTGGCGGTGTTGAACAGAGGTCTTAGGAAAGGGACAGGTGTCCTGGTGCCCCATCACTGTGGGGACACCTGTCCACTTGTCTCCCAGGGCTCCTGCCTGCCTGCTGTGCTGTCCAATGGGAGTCTTTTTGGTGTTCAGTACTAGAGATAGAACCCAGGGCCTTCACACTGAGCTCCAGTTCCAGGCATTTTTTTTTCTTTTCTTTTGCTTTTGAGACAGGGTCTTGCTAAGTCACCAAGCTGCCCAGGCTGGGCTCGAATTTGAGATCCTCCTGACTCAGCCTCCCAGAGTGTGGGATTATAGGTATATGCCACCATGCTTGGCTTTGGGAATTTTAAGGAGATTCAAAAAAAAAAAAAAAAAAAAAAAACAGTGGATGTTCCCTCCAAGGGTGGGCATTCTGCGAGTGACCAGCTTCCAAAGACGAGAGTGGGTGGTACCTTCCAGTGAGGACGCCTGCAGGCTCCACCTGCTCAGCCAGGTGACAAAGAACATTTCCACAGCCACGCCCTGGGGGGAGCGGACCTGGATGAGGTCTGAGAGGGGCCTGCAGCTCTGGCGTCCTCCAAACCCACAGCCCAGGCGGACCGTGTGGACAGCGTCAGGCAAATTCCACCTGAGGGGCAGCTGGGGGCTCTCTGGCCAGTGTTAAGCCCTCCCCAGGTGGGGGAATGCAGAAGGGCCTGAGGAACCGCTCCAGCCAGGAGGAGCCGGAGGAGCCGGAGGAGCCAGGACTTGCGGGGAGTGGATGCGACCCCGACAGTTGGTTTGGTCGGCAACGCACGGTACTGGTGTTGCTCCCTGAGCCGTGAACACTCGCCAAGGTGACGCTGCCTACATCGCACGCGGTCCAGGGGAGAGCCCTGGGGGTTTGCTGTCTCCTGTGGGTTTTGTTGGTCAGAAACTCTTCAGAACTAACAGCTCACCTGTCAGCTCAGCAGGGAGGGCCAGGAGGGCTGGGTGGGGACCAGCGGGGTCTGTGAGAAGGGCCGGGTCTTCCTTGGTTGTGGGGGCTCCCTGAGACAAGATAACCCCATGGTGCCAACAGTGCCGGGTGTCCCCAGCATCCCCGCCTGTGCGGCAGCCCTGGAGTCACAAAAGCAATTGCCCAGCACAGAGTGCCATCCTCAGTGGGTCCTAGAGCCAGGGCTGACGAGATCGGGCGGGTGCCCAGTCAGTGGGAGTCAGCGGGCCTGGTGAGGGCTGGCCACCTGCCCGGCCACTCTGCCCCGCCCCCCAGTGCACCAGACAGCCCTTGCTGCACAGTCGCAGGGCCCTCGCCACCCCTGTGTCCCAGCTGGTGGGCACCGACTGCTCGCAGAACGCGCAGGCTGCCAACCCGGCCCCCGAAAGGTGCGGCTCCAGGTAAAGAGATGTTTCTGTCGTGCTTAATTGACAGCGATTTTCCTCTTCGAAGAAAATATACAGGAGGTGGCGAATTGAATCTCAATTCATTGAATCTGATTAAACTGTTCTAGGGGAAAAAGAGATTTCAATAAAAATTTAACAGGAAGAGAATCAAGAAAGCTGCAAACTAGAAAATAAAGTGAGGTGGAGCAGCGCTTCCTGCGTGGAAGTCAGGATGTAGAACTCCGCCTTGGAAAGTGGGTTTGGTCCTGGCCTGGCCCATAGTAGCCAACGGGCTACTACTGCACTCAAGCAGGGAGGGAATCTTGCTGAGGGGAGTCCCGGTGGACGGTTGGAGGAGCTCCGAAGTTTAGCAGTGTGCTTGTAGCACAGAGGGTCAGCTCGGAGCCCCTTCCACCTGCCAGGCCAGGGGACAGGCTTGGGGGCCGTGCAGCCACCGCGTGTCAGCCCCCGGGCACCCTTGCACCTTCCCCTTCTCTGCCATGTTCCCTTCATTTGTCCGGCGATAACGACTTCCATGCCATTAGATTCGCCTCTGAAAGTGTGTGGTTCCGTGGTTCTGTGTGCAGCCATCCCCTGGTCACTTCCAGAGCATCGAGTCACCCCGAAAGAAACCAGGGCCCAGTGAGCAGCCATGTGCCCCATCCTTCCCTCCCTGGCCTGTGGCAACCACCAGCTCCTTCCTTCTTTGTGGATTTGCCTTGTCTGGTCATTGCGTATGAACGGCCTCCTCCGCCGTACAGCCGAGCGGGGCTCCGTCCACCCCAGCACTGTTCTCCGAGCGTACCTCCTGCCGGCACGCTTTGCAGGGTCCGCCTGCTGCTGGCGGACACCTGGGTGCTTCTGTGCTGGGTCCTTGTGAAGTGCTGCCCTGGACAGGGTTGCGTGGTGTTCTTGCGGGACGGATGGGTGCGTCCGAGGTTGGAATTACTGCCTGCTGACTCCGAGAATCTTGGGAACCGTGCACTGCTGTGATCACCAGGTCACAGCCTGGCTGCACGTGGCGCTGCCCATGT